AGTGGTTCGACATCTTCGATATTCTCCGACCATGAAAGGGGTGGTTCTTCGTCATCGAATGGCGGAAATCTCATTCTCTTGAAATGCCGTCTATCACTCTTTTCTCTTCTCATACAAATCCACATCGTAGCCCATTGTGCATGAAACACTGGTTCGATAACTCTTGGTATTTCATTAACCAAAGTCAGGCATCCATTGACGTGGTACAGCACCTTTACCTCCCTCGCAGACTCCCAAGGCATTGGCATATTCTCCAGCAATTTCATCACCGCATGTGGCATGAATTTGAGTGCACCGAGATAACTTCGTTTATCATTGCTGAATTTCTTTTGTGATACATCTCCAATATCCTTGACGATCTTTCGCAGATGCTCTGGTGGCATATCAGCTTTCTGAGTTTCTACAAAACCACCCTTTCGTTTTTCGCCGAATCGATTTCGCTGTGTTCGCAACCAATCCTTCTTCTTCTGTGCAAACTTCGCAACATGTGGATCCGCCGGTGGTCGATAACCTGGAGGAGGTGGTGCACCAGGTGGCGCGCCCAAAGGCATGGATGGAGGCGCTGAAGAGCTCCATCCAGGCGGGGGAGGTGGTGGAATTGATGACATTTTCAATGTCTTGGGTACCAAGTCCCAAATTCCATCAACAAGTCGCCTTCTGAATAGAACTTCACTTTGTCGTTGATGGGTATAAAGTTGATAATTGTGTTGTCGCGAGCGCGTTTAGATAAATTTTAACGCTACACAGAGAGCTTAAGGAAATGCCCGTTAGCGCATCCGTTCAATTAATCTTTAATCCTTGTTGCCTGAATAATAAGGTGCTGATGTAAGCACGAAGCTCAAGGGCTGTCCGATTAACACGTGAATGATCTAACTATAAGCGTGATAGCTCTAGCGAGTTATCGCGCACGAAGAATTTGTTCAATTTGACAAAACTCAAGATTCAATCGACAACGCCAACGACCTCAATCGACCTCCGAACCAGAAATTCGCCAACATGTCGTCCAACAGATTGACCTACAGACGCCGAAACCCGTGAGTTTCAATTATTCAACGTTGGAGGAAGAGCCAAATATTAATTGAAACAGATACAACACTCGATCCAACAAGGTCAGAGTTGTTAAGACCCCCGGCGGCGAGCTTCGTTATCTCCACATCAAGAAGGCCGGTACTGCACCAAAGTGCGGTGACTGCGGAATCAAATTGCCAGGTGTAAGTTGATATCTTTCGATTAAATTACAAAGGAAGAGGAAAAAGCGAAAACTCGAAAAATCGCTCGTCAAGTCGGAATACAAGCGCGAGGCATCCTTCTACATCGCAACAGTCAATACTTAGCGATGGCCAATCTATAGCCTCCAGGCTCTTGAATGCGGCGATGGTTGATTTACGACGGACATTTGATTATAGAAAATTGGTTATGGAAATGCTAATTCATTTCCTGTAGATCCCAGCCCTCCGACCCCGCGAATACTCCCAGATCTCCCGCCCAAAGAAGACTGTTCAACGTGCCTACGGAGGATCAAGATGTGCCAACTGCGTTAAGGATCGTATCGTCAGAGCTTTCTTGATTGAGGAGCAGAAGATTGTCAAGAAGGTCCTCAAGGAGTCTCAACAAAAGAAGCGTTAAGCGGTTGATTAGTTCTGGGTCCTTTGGTGTTTGACTGGGAAGGCTGGAATGAATCGCAGCAGGAAATAGCTGTATAAATCTCAGGGCTTCCACCAATTCATGAGCTTCGACTACACTGAGTGCCCGTCCATTGTGAGGTTGGCGTCAGAATGCATAAAAGTGAATGGGGTTCGATTTGGATCTGTTCACCGGTTAGTGAAGCAGGCAATTAATCGGGGGTTTCGAGCAATTTATGAAGATATCGCAAAGACAATGTTCGCCTTTTCCTACGACTATGTGAGCCGAGTGCATCATCCCATGATGAATTCCATTCGACAAGTCAAGCAACCGGGAAGATGTACATCTTCAATAACGAACCAGAAAAGTCTCTTGAATACAGCCCCAGCAACCTTTTGGATCTATGTAAAGGTTTCACCAATGCGTGACGTCGTGACCTCCGCTTCGTGATATTTGTTTCATCTCAACTTCCCTTGCTTCAAAACCAACGCTGAAAATTCTACCTACCAGCTGCAAATCCATTCATGAATATTGACCAAGCAGAAATCGCTCTATTTAGATATTTGACAACTAGGTAAAGACAGCAAATTACTTCATGCCCTCTGGTAGCAAGAAGTAATTTAATCAGCCGCAGTCCCAAATACATATTCACATGACTTACGCGACCTTGCATTAACGAGTTTTCATACCAAGTGATAACTGACTGTTCACTAAATTTCATAAATGTTAAGTCTTATCAGTAGGTAGATATCGTTTCTTTCAGTAAGTTCTCGGAAGCTCTGCTATTGATGCTTGTACTCGAATTGGACGATTGGTGTGCGTGTTGCGAAGATCAGCCTGACACTTCTTGTACACCGATCTGTTGGTTGCCCAGACAAAACAGCGCCCTGACACTTGCCGTGCCTAGTGAGCTCTGCCGTCTCAAAACGGGGCTGACATCATTAAGCTGCCAACCCCAGTGGTAAGTCTCTGTCTGCGAACTCATACTTTTCAACGATAGGTAATCTTATTTATAAACACAACTTGACAACCTCAGCGCAACACCTGATGGCGCCGAATAATAACAGTCCGCTGTTCGCGTCAGGAAGACCCTCTTCCTCTAATTCCGAAGAAAGAGCTGCGGCAGAAGACGATGCGCTTCTTGGTAATCGACAAAAGAATTCCTACGAAGCCAAGAGAACTGGATTTTGGAGAGAAATTGGGCTCTTTACTTGGGCTGTTGTTGCTACTGCTGCTGTCATCGTCCTAGGCGTTTTATTGTCGCAAAGCCATCAAGCTCCAAAGAAGACAAAGCAAAATGGAAAGCGCAATCTTATTTTCATGGTGAGCGATGGAATGGGCCCGGCATCTTTGAGTTTGACGAGAAGCTTCCGGCAATTCCAAGGAGATCTGCCCATCAATGACATTCTTCAACTCGATCAACATTTTATCGGTTCGTCGCGCACGAGATCAAGCAGCAGTCTTGTCACAGATAGTGCGGCGGGAGCTACTGCATTCAGTTGTGGAAGAAAAAGCTATAACGGCGCAATCTCTATGTTGCCCGATCACACTCCATGTGGTACTGTACTCGAAGCTGCTAAGAGGGCTGGTTATACCACAGGCTGTAAGTAAATATCTGCCATGTTCATTCGGACATTGAAGGGCTAACTCCTCCAGTGGTTGTTACAACAGATATAACGGACGCGACTCCAGCTTGCTTTGCCTCGCATGTTGATTACCGAATGCAGGAGGACTCGATAGCTTTACAAGAGGTTGGAGAACATCCTCTTGGGCATCGAGTTGTTGATTTGATGCTAGGCGGTGGACGCTGTCACTTCTTGCCCAACACATCGGAATCTAGTTGCAGAGCTGATGATCGCGATGTCACAAAATTGGCGCAAGACAAATACGGGTGGACATACATTGATACCAGAGAGGATTTTGACGAGTTGAAGCTTGGAAAGAAGGTTCAGCTGCCACTGTTGGGTCTATTTTCTGATACAGATATCCCTTTCGAGCTTGATCGACGAAACATGAACGATGTCTATCCTTCTCTTGATGAAATGGCAAGAACAGCTTTGACCGCACTTGAAGCTGCAACGAAGGATAGTGACAAGGGTTTCTTTCTCATGATTGAGGGAAGTCGAATCGATCATGCAGGCCATGGGAATGACCCAGTAAGTTACTATAGATCACTTGGAGGCGACATTATAAATCTCAGCACGAGTAGCATGACTGACTAGATTTTTTAGGCTGCCCAAGTTCACGAAGTACTTGCCTATGATCGAGCTTTCCAAAGTGTGATTGATTTCCTGGACAAGAGCGATACTGAAGGTGCTCTTGTTGCTACAAGTGACCACGAGACTGGAGGCTTAGCTGTTGCAAGACGTAAGATATACCAGCTCGACATACTCATGAGCTAATACTAATCTTATATTCAGAACTTAATCCTTCATACCCTCAATATTTATGGTACCCTGAGGTATTGGCAAATGCTTCCCATTCATCAGAGTATCTTTCTAGGGTTCTAAGGGCTCATGTTGCTTCTTCCGAAGCGATTGCCAACGGGCGCCCTGTGAGTAGGCGATTCGTGAAAGAAGATCTCATTAAAAAGGGTCTTGGGGTTATGGATGCGAGTGAGGAAGAGATCGATCACGTACTTGACAATCCGGCGCTTTCTGCATATGCTTTTGCCGATATCATCAGCCGCAGAGCACAGATTGGTTGGTCAACCCACGGTCACTCTGCTGTTGATGTCAATATCTATGGATATGGTGCTGATGTACTTCGTGGAAACCACGAAAACATCGAAGTCGGCAAATTTTTGAGAGATTATCTCAATGTTGATGTTGATGCAATCACAGCAGAACTAAACAGCAAGACTAATGGACAAAGTCTCTCAACTGCTTCAACCCCCGATATTCCAGATTTTGGACGATACGAAGAACGACTCAAGAAGAACTTGCCACAATAAGTCGCATTTCGTCTTTTCATTATACCCAATCTTATTAGAGCTAGAATCATTGAAATTTCACGAAATTGTTTCAGAAATTTGTTGAGCAGGATCCTAGCTTCCCGTGACCTTCTTTAGCAAACTGTTTCCTCCGACTAGAGTAACACAAAATCTTCTTTGCCCGTACCAATCTTCTCATCCTTCACTTGATACCATGCATGAAACAATCCTCATCACAGTCAGAGATTCAACAAACAGCTGACGCAGGACCCACTATCTCATCTTTTTGTGTAGCCGTTTGAGGTTTGCAAAATGCCAAACTCAAGCATCAACACCACTTTTCGCAATCTATATGATGGTGAAATTCCGATCAGAGGAATAGCTATCTGCTCGCGACTTTTGCTTGTTGTCGGAGGATTTTCTATGAATAGTGCGCCGTTTGAATAACCGGGGATGATGGCCCGCCTTACAGCGAAGAGCATTCTTTGCGTACAGCAAATGAAGACTCATATTGTGAAGAGCAAGTGTGTCACATTGATCAATGATGGGAATCTTGAGCTATAGGAGAACACTGAGAGAGCTTGTGTTTCCGGTATAAGTATACTACTTGTAGCTTCGTATCCCGAAGTCCTTTTTTGAACAAGTTTTTGTATTGCAGGTGTCATAATTGATCTCCCTCCCTTCCTGTTCGAATCGACCATCATCCACAATTCATCTAGCTCTTAGTTCTAAGCTCCCAGATTCATACTTGTTAAATCTCTCGTCTGAACTAAAACCAATCAAATGTGCAATTACTGGAGCATAGAGCCCCTTTGCGGCCACCGCACTCTCCACGCAGGACCCAACTGTTACCTTCTCTTTGCACAGTTAGCACGCATCAATGATCCACGAGAATTAGCACGACCGGGTTTACCGTTCGAACTTCCGAATGAATGTTTACCGAATCGCTGGAATATTCGGCCGAAATATGTCAATGGGTATTGTTCTTCGGAGTGTAGGAACAATGGGATTTTGTATGCAGGAAGAAGGTGCGGAGAAAGGGATGCGAGATATGGGCCGGGGAGTGAAAGAATTGGGGTAGGGTGGAGGTATTGATGGTGTGGTGTTGGACATGGAAAATTAGAAAGTTCGTGATCACCTGGTGGATGATGAATCGAGACTGGGCGTTGATATGAAATGGCTGTGTATGGACAGTTTGTTGACGCATTGGAGGACAAAGTTCTTGATGAACGTACATAATCAGGGTTGAAATCAGAATTCGGTGTTCGTATCGAAAATTGGGCTTTAGAACCGCATTGCAGGAGTTTTTGACGGTAATGAGAATATGAATTGGATCCATGGGATCTTCAAATAGCTGGAACTTCAATACGTGTGATCATTATGCTACAGACTTCGATGTAGCGAGACAGACTAGCTAGCATTTTTGGCTAGACATCTTGATTATCAATTCTATTACATCAAAGATTTCGTCTAGTATACGCCCAGTATGCCTTGTATGGCAACTTCCATTCTCTTGCCCTCAGTTCTGGCCTGAATACATCAAAATCGAGTTGTTCCAGCCTTTCCAGCCATAATCTCGTAGGAACTGCCTGCATAAATACACCAAATCCTCTCTCTATATCACTGACTTGGGTGTTATCACCTTCTGCATAGTAGTGACCATCCTCATCTTGATGCTCAAACTCGTGACCTGCATCTTTACCCGCTTGGAGGTTCTTCAACATCTCCCTGGCAGTAATCAAATGATCATTTGCTCTGGTCGCCACTGTGAAAATAGCATCTTTCAAACCAGGAGCTTCTGCGCCATGCCTCAATACATCCTCCTCTTTAACACCAGTTTCGGCCATGACATCTAATGGTAAAACAACTGCTCCTTGTCGCCCACCACCATTGCCACCCAGAGCGCCACCAAAAGCTGCATTGTTGCTATGATGATTTGGTGGTGGTGGAAATGCTATGAGTGGCAAACCTCTCAAAACCGCAGCAATTCCAGCCGCTTTACCGATATGACTCGCGACATGATCGGCTGCCATAGATTTTAGAGGTAAAGCTGCTAAAGTCAAGTACATTAATGTTGAATATGTATTCTCCGCGTACATCTCAAGCGCATCCATGTTTGTATAAGGCCGATTATCCATATATTGTTCCCTTGTATTGATCACTTTCATAAACCAACCCTTCATCACACTTGTGCTGATTCCATCATATCGCGATTGAAGAGACGTGAGCGCATGATGTAGGAGAATGGCGACAGGTTCTTTCGGAGGTGTATTCGCAAATGTTCGGTTCAAATTGTCTCGCCAGAACTGCATGCGCAATGCCCCTACTGTTGGATTTGATACAATATCTGGTATACGAGCTAATTCAATATTGAGAGCACGAATTGAAAGGTAGGCATCTTTTGTTGAGGGAGGAATAAAGGTTTGAAGAGTATACGATGGCGAATCAAACTTTCTAGAAATCAATTAGATATTGGGAATTGAGAAACTCACAGGGCTCGCAGAACTAACTGGATAAGATTGGAACAATATGTCCTGGCTTGATTTATATCTTCTTCAGTCAACCGGGAGGCAAATGGCGCAGGTGTACTGTAGGAGGTAGTAGCATAGGCGCATCTCGAACTGATATATGTCTTGGGACAGCTTTGGAGCCGACGCAGAATTCGGGATTTGTACATTAGGATTATTGTTGTTGTGGGTGACCTGTCAATGAACTGTAAATTGCAAATTGCTTTTAATTGTCCCTCTTCGAACTCTCTTCGAGTGGTTATATGTACATTGACAAAGCTGTTAACAAAATAATTTACAAGGATAAGATAAGATACCCCGACGTCACTAAACATCTAAATTATTTTTTGTCGCGTCCGTCCATCGCGTGACTGCGCGTTTCCATCAAATCAGCAGTGGAATATTACTCAGTTGCCCTTGCTTTTTGTTTTTATTTTGAAATGACAAATTTAATTCGGGTGAGACTTCCATAGCTTCTGCGGATATGGAGGGGCCTCCGGCGAAGAGAAGAAGGTTCTTTACGGAAACAGCTGTGGGTTCGGATTCTTCACCAGGTGAGGAGGCGACAAATGTACCAGATGAAATCGACGCGCTGCCTCCAGAAATTGCCTGCTCTACAAACGAAATCAGAGACCAGAATCCTCAAGATGATCCAGTTTTGGAGGAAAGAACACTTGCTGGAGATTCGCAGACTACATTCGACCAGGAAATGTTTGAAAACTTCATTGGCGACAAAGTGACTCGGGAAGAACTGAAAGGGTTACGAGAGGCGTCTGGAAATGATATAGAGAAGGCTGTGAATATGTACTTTGATGGATCTTGGATACGGCCTGCGCTCGTTTCCGGTCTCTCCAGATCTTCGTCAAACTCCAGAAGCGCTTTTAGTTCTTTCGCGAAGTCTACCAATGGTACTGTTGATGGCCCCAAGCCAAGCTCTGCAGAATCAAACACCTCGTCAAGAACAGTCTCGCTTCATCGAGTCATGCCAGAATACCGGTATATAGGAGCTTTTGGGGTTGGAGGCTGGGCTACGAAGAGTGGAACAAATTTAATCAAACATGGCGAAGTTGTGCGGATAGAGCGTCAAAAGATACAACCACCCAAGGCACCGGCCGGAAGGGGGAAAGGCAGAACATCAGTGGCTCAAACATTACCAAAACCTAATAGTGCTGCAGCACGGCGTGTCGATGTCATAGTACGTTTTACCAATTCGAAGGGGTTTGAAGTTGGTCGTCTTCCTCAGGAAACGGCAAATTGGGTTTCTACTTTAATTGATCAAAGGATATGCAGGTTCGAGGGTACATGTGTATATGCGCCTGAAAGAATTCGTACCAATGATACTGTCTTTCTCCAACTCAGGTGCTCATTGTTAAGAACTGCTTTCGATGACCGCAGTTTCCAGGCACCTGATAATCGGGTAACTGGTTTTTTTGAAGAGAAAGAAAGTTCTGAAGAAAAGGGTCTAAGACTCCGTCAGGTCGCGTTAGTTAATTTATTTCAAGAGATTAATCTGCTTCCTACGCAAACGAGCGAAGCAACCGCAAAACACAAGCGTCAGGGACTTTTAAGTGCTGCAGAGGCAGCTGAACATTATGATAAAGATGAATCTAAAATTACTGGTTCTGGTACTGGCACTCCCCCATCTGAAGAGGTAGAGGAAGGAAAAGAACTTGAGCAAGACCAACTTGACACGTTATATAGCAAAGCTCAATCCTTTGATTTTATTGCTCCTGAGGCAGAACCAGCAAAAAGCTTTGCAATGGATTTGCGACCATATCAAAAGCAAGCATTGTATTGGATGATGGTGAAAGAGCGCGACGAGAAAGATAACAAGAGAGCAGCCTCGATGCATCCTCTGTGGGAAGAATACGCTTGGCCTTTGAAGGACATGGATGATAAAGAGGTCATTCAAATTGCTAATCAAGATAAATTCTACGTCAACCCATATTCCGGTGCACTTTCCTTAGACTTCCCTCTTCAAGAACAGCATTGTCTTGGAGGCATTCTTGCCGATGAGATGGGTCTAGGCAAGACTATTGAGATGATGAGTCTTATCCACTCTAGTAAGTCTGATGTGGCTATGCGGCTCGATGAGAAACGCTCAAAGGCTGCATCAGTGAACAGTTTGCCTCGACTTCCAGCCAATTCATCATCTGTAGAAAGGGCACCCTGTACAACTTTGGTCGTGGCACCAATGTCTCTTCTTGCTCAATGGCAAAGTGAAGCTGAGAATGCTTCTAGGGATGGAACCATGAAGAGTATTGTTTACTATGGTAGTGATAAAACAGCAAATCTTCAGGCTCTTTGCTGTGAAGCTAACGCTGCATCGGCTCCCAATGTTGTTATTACAAGCTATGGCGTCATTTTGTCTGAGTTCAATCAAGTTACTGCTCGGAATGGTGATAAGGGTGGTCATGGAGGTTTATTTTCGCTCTCGTTCTTCCGGGTAATTTTGGATGAAGCTCATTATATTAAAAACAGGCAGTCTAAAACCGCGAAAGCATGTAAGTCAATCTAGATATATTATGGGACCAAAGAATGATAGCAATTGTTATTGTTAACATTCTGTGAAATCTGGCACTGGCTGACCCAACTTTTTAGGCTACGAGATTGCTGCCGAGCATCGATGGGCACTTACTGGTACACCCATTGTTAATCGATTAGAAGATCTTTTTAGCTTGGTTCGATTCTTAAGAGTAGAACCTTGGAGCAATTTTTCTTTTTGGAAAACATTCATCACAATACCATTTGAATCTAAAGAATATATGCGTGCCCTTGATGTCGTTCAAACGGTACTGGAACCTCTAGTGCTCCGTCGAACAAAAGACATGAAGACACCAAATGGTGAAGCACTAGTTCCTTTACCCAAAAAGACCATCGATATTGTCGAAATCGAGCTATCAGAAGCCGAACGCGAAGTCTATGATCACATTTTCACGAGAGCCAAACGTACCTTCTCAGCCAACATCGAAGCAGGCACAGTTCTCAAAGCCTATACAAGTATTTTCGCTCAAATCCTCCGACTTCGCCAATCATGCTGTCATCCCATTCTAACCCGTAACCAAAACCTAGTAGCAGATGAAGAAGATGCTGCTGAAGCCGCAGACGCTGCAAGTGGTCTTTCAGACGACATGGATCTTCAACATCTCATTGAGCGCTTCAAGCTCAACGAAGAATCAATCGATACTAATATCTTCGGGGCACATGTCCTCGAACAAATCCGCGACGAAGCAGAAAATGAGTGTCCAATCTGTTCGGAAGAACCAATGATTGAACAAACTGTCACCGGGTGCTGGCATTCAGCGTGCAAAAAATGCTTACTAGATTACATCAAACATCAAACCGACAGAGGTGAAAGTCCCCGTTGTTTCAGCTGTCGCGAACGCATCAATCCACATGATATTTTCGAAGTGGTCAAAGATGAAGGACATCCCGAGAGTAAAAATGGGAAAACAAAAATAAGTCTTCAGCGAATCGGCTCCAATGGATCGGCGAAAATCGCAGCTCTGTTATCGAATCTCAAATCCATACGGAAAGAATCTCCGTCTATGAAATCAGTTGTGTTTAGTCAATTTACGTCTTTTCTCTCTTTGATCGAACCTGCTTTGACGAGGTCCTCGATCCCATTCTTGAGATTGGATGGTTCGATGCCACAGAAAGCGAGAGCGGCAGTTCTGGCTCAGTATAAAGATAGTGAGAAAGGGATCGTGCTACTACTTAGTCTGAGAGCGGGAGGAGTGGGGTTAAATTTGACGATGGCGAAGAGAGTTTTCATGATGGATCCGTGGTGGAGTTTTGCGGTGGAGGCACAAGCGATTGATAGAGTGCATCGGATGGGACAGGTGGGGGAGGTGGTGGTTAAGAGGTTTATTGTGAAGGGGAGTGTGGAGGAGAGAATGTTGAGGGTGCAGGAGAGGAAGAAATTTATGTGAGTTTTTTTTTTCTTCTTTTGTTTTTTTCTCTATTCTTCGATCCTTTTGAGCAGCCTGTTCGAATTTGTCTCTCGGCAAGCATATCATCTATCTATCTGCATATCACATTACGTAAGTCAAACTATCATTAACAAGACTAACATGCGAATAGTGCGAGTTCACTAGGTATGATGAGTGACGAAGAAAAGAAATTACAAAGAATCGAGGATATTAAGGAACTTCTCTCCTAAACATCATATTCTAGAGAAAGGGATTATAGCTGTAACAAGCAAGCTCGCTGAAGTCAAGTGAGGAGCCCTGGCATAGGAGATGCGAGGTGGATAGGTAAATAAATAGATGGGTGGATGGATGAGTATAAGTCAAACGGCAGACGAAGCAAGATATACTATCCGAAAAAGGGATAAGCTATTCGTGTATTGGATATTATATCCTACTCCTATGGGTATAGACATATACATACATACATATATGTATATATATCTACATACCATAAGGTTACATACTCTTACGCGTTACCAAAATTTCCAAAGAGGGAGGGAGCGGGAACTCAAGGAAAATTTGAGGGAAACTTAAGATTCCAGTAAATCAAATCAATAAACATCTACGCAGTCGACGAATCCAAACAACCAAAATGCATGCACAAAATGAAAGAAAATAAAAGGAGGTGAAATCACAAACCGCCATTGTTCATTTGTACCTTATCCCTCATACCTCACACACCTCATCCATACTCACGATTTCTCATCATTTATCTATTTCATCTTATTAATCTATAATCTACAACCTCTAACCTATAATTCCATTCTACCCCCCCCCCCCCCCCCGCAACATCGATATATCCTCAGTACTAGATCGATTGAGAAGTAGAGATCATTCGGAGATTCGATATTTGGAATTTCGAGATGAATGGATATGGATGATATACATATATACGTATCTAGTGCTGTGTCGTGCTGTAAAGCTATTTATTTATTGTATAGTTACATGTTTAGTAAGTAGCTGTTTATCTATCCAATGTAATATAATCCCGTCTCATCTAAGCTACTCTAAGCTACTTTCTTTCCCCTCCTTCTCTTATTCATATCTATATCCATATCTATAGCTAATATACTAGGTAGACACTTAATCATCAATACAATACAATACAGTAAAACAGTAAAGTAAAACAGCAAAGTAAAGTAAACCAAGTATAATAAATACTCTTCTACTTCTACTTCTACTTCTATCTTACTATTTGCCTACTTGCTCACCTACTCACCTACTCACCTACTCACCCATTCAAATTAAGTTCCCTCTCTCCTTCTCCTCCCTCTCCTCACAACATAGCATACACGAGTAATCTCATCCTTATGACACCTAACACCCCCCAGCCCACCTACCCACCTACCCGACTATTTGAACAAGCAATATTCACCAGTTGCCTCCAAGACACCAGGTAGGTGGGTAGGTACTAACAAGTACATATTCACAAAGTATCAATTTAATCATAACCCTATCACAGAACTCTCCCTCGAAGATATACAGATAGACAGATATACAGATAGACAAATAGAAAGATAGATATATCCTAAAAGTTGAATCCATTTCAATTCATTCGATTAAACAGCTAATTAAGCAATACCACTTCTATGTATATAGGTATCTAAACAATTACTAATAAATAACCCTACGTATCTTCTCCTTTCTTCTCTTCTCATCCACACAAGAGTAGAATTGTATTTCCTTTTGATTAATTAAAAAAGAACTCCATTTTTGTTCCATTCCATCCCGTCCCATCCCAATTCATTTCAATTCACAAGCATAAGAATATGCAAGTGAAGATCCGTCCATAATGTAGGGGGTATATCCGAACAAAGTACGCCTTCCGCACAAAGCAAATATAAAATCCTCTTTTTCCCTCCTGGTAAAGCTACCGAATACTCAATGCAAATGCTTCTAATTTTCCCAAACGCCGATAATTTTCAAATATTCATGAGTCATGAGATATGTATCTGATTAATGAGCTCTGTGGTCACTTCCATTTGCGCCATCCAATGCTGGTAAATGTTCATAATCAGGAATGGGGGGTCCGTCATACAATTCCGTGTTGACATAAGTTGGGGGGCTGGCGGGAACATTCTCATATAGAGGAGGTTGTTCCTCATCCCATGAGATGCCCAACCCCGATCTCTCGGTAACTGTGAGGTTGAAGTGCATTCTTAAAACTCTTGCGCCTCCAGTTGGTGTTACTTGTGTTGGTTTTTTGATAGGTGCGAATTCTTCGGAAACAATCATCTCAACAATGAGAGTGTGGAAAACTTCCGTGCCATCTTCAGCTTTCATATCGCAAATTGGTTTTGCATCAGGACGAATCGAGATAGGAAATTCGATTTCAATGGCTCCATCCGCTGTATCGTAATTTGATTTCCATCCAGATTTGATCTCCTCAGTTGCTAGAGTGCGGGCATCTTGATGAGCAGCACCTTTCTTGCTCTCACCTTCCTTGGTCACTTTGGAGGCATGTTTGGGGCATGCTGGTGAGATCACTCTGTGAGTTTCATCCAAACGCCACGTCAAACGCTTCAACTTCCAATGGTTCTGTGTCTTTGCATCCACATTACGATTTACAACACCATCCATGCGCATGGAAATGTTTGCTTCACCGATTGGATAGATGACAGGAGGAAGTTGACAGTTCGCAGTCAAATTTGTTGGTGGAAAGATTCGGATCGAGTTTCGAGGTGTGTCGGAAGGGATGATGGCACGCTTAATATTGAGGATGTGGGAGAGTTTCATTGGCTCGCCAGTCTTTGGCACCAATGTAGCTTTGAGAACGTATTCGATGTTGGACAAGCTACCCTTCATACTTGCAGGTAGATGTCCAGGAAGGAGAAAGCTGAATGGAAAGTCATGTTCACCTATAAAGTTACATTAGAATTTTAAAACCCAAGGTAAGAATGCATTGATTGAGTAATTACCTTTGCGAAGTGTAGCTGGACCTTGAAGGAAATTCCACGTCGTTAAATCCTTTGATTGGTGGGTACATTCATGGCAATGCGCATGGAATGGTTTCTTTTGTGTGACCTCCAATGCCAATCGCATCTTGAAAGATTCAATTGCAAAACTCTCATCGTGAATGTGTAACTTTAATTGACCTGAGAGTAATGCGCCAGTGCTCGAACTGGTAGAACCATAGAGAACCAATGGTGGTGACTCAATGGCACAGTCGAGTGTTGCACCGTGATATTGAGGAATAGATTTCGAAGAAGTTTTGGGGGAATGAAGACCGGGTATCGAGATACGTTTGTGGGTAAGAGAAAGGTCGGGCATCTTGGCTGCTTTGTCGTCTATGATAGAAGAGGCTGATGGTGTGCGACTTTTCAACGATGGTCTACTACTTGAATTCCTTCTGGAAGTTTTCTTTCCTTCCGTTGGTAAATCAAATGGATGGGAATGAGATCGAAAGAACGACGTAACGTGCTGCATTGTGGCAGGCATTGGTGGGGTCTTTTTGGTGGCGTCCTGGACAAGGGAAATAGAGTTTTTTTCTTCTTCTTTCGTATGGCGACCGCGCAACAGTATTTGTACTGCTTTTAATAGAAAACTTTCATTCGGGTTGGAAGTTGTTTAGTTGGAAGTGGTGGTTTGGTTCAAAAGTATCCTGGTAAGTAAGAGTGAAGGAAGATGAGAGGCGAGAGCTGGAGAATTTGAATCCGTATTCTTTTTTGGATGATGTGATGAGTGAGATATCACAAAGAAGTAGAAGAGGATGATGTAATATATAAATATGTGATATGTACGAGTAGGTATGTATGTATTTTGAGTAGATATTTTAGTGATTGTGATATATAGTTTTTATATTCTCCTTGTTTGTGTGGAGAAGTGAAAGGGTATAGATAGATGTATATGTATATCTCGAGTATGTCTTGTATATATGTTGTATTTATGTATGTGTGAATGAAGTGATGAATAGAAAGAATATTATTATATTTTGATATTGAATCTTGACTTGAGTATGACGGGAAAAGGATTTGAGCTAGGTATGTATAGTATTATAACTATTATAGTATTGTATATAAAAACTACACTTGCAAAAGGGTTTGAGAATACTAAACTCCTACTAGACCATTATAGTATCACCATACATCCATCTCTTACCTACTCATTAGACGCTCATTAGACATTCTTCTCCCCTTCTCCCCTTCTCCCCTTCTCCCCTTCTCCCTTTCCTTTCGAGGAATTCTATGTGTCAAATGGATTTCTAGTCGACCAGAATTTGAAGTCTGTGATTTCATCTTTTCCCTGGTTACTAGGTACACATGCCAAAAAAAGATGAGCCATTGGCCCATTGCCCCTCACATGGGAAAATTCGAATTATCCCTTGTTGGTTCTTATGGGTCGTGGTGCATTGTTCCTGTTCCACGGCTGCCATGCTTCAAATACTAAATTTATTATCATTATTATTATGGGGAACCGAAGAAAAAATCGATTTTACCGGTGATGGAAAACTCAGGAATGTCGTCTGTGTGTATCATTACTAGTAATTCACTACCTAGTTAGAACTTAGTAGGCAGTTAGTCTGGACATGATATGTTTTTGGTCCAGCCGTTTTGTTTGATGTTTCTAACTGCTCCAGCTGTGACTTGTTCTGATTTTAAGCGGTTAAACATCGCACGAGTCGTAGATCGTGGGACTAGAGAGCTATTGAAATTCTACACCGCAGAATGAAGGATGTGTAGATGGAGGTAGGAAGTCTTAAGTAGGTAGGTACGTGTATGTGTATGTGTATGTGTATGTGTATGTGTATGTGTATGTACATGGCCAGGAAACTCTTTGAACCCTTTGAACTCTTTGGTACTAGGTAGGTGTGGTCTCAAGGCTAATGCTTTGTAGTCATCCGTGAAGCTTAGCTACTAGGTCGCGATTGAAGGCGTCCACGTATTATTACCAGAGCTCAATTGATTTGCATTATATTCTATAAAATTAAAAATCTCAAATTCTATCTACATCAGTGTCCAAGGAAGTATACAGTCATAGTCATACCTGTGTAGATATTCAATATTAACTAACTACCTACCTAGGTATTCAACTCCAAGCAAAAAGAATTGGGATTTCCCTTTTAGATGTCAGGTACCTATAGAGTAGTATTTGTAGAGGAGGAGCTACATACTCCCAAACACCTCCCTGGTAAGGAATTACGTTTAGCTTCTTCTGGGGTACGCCCTGTGGATCCAGTATATTCAACGTCAAAACTTTTTTTCAAGCCAGTTAAATTCACAGATTTCAACAGCTGATGAGCAATTAGATCGATGACTGGTCAAATTTACCTGTACACTGACTATACTGACTACACTGACTACACTGACTACACTGACTACACTGACTACACTGACTACACTGACTACACTGACTACACTTACTACACTGACTACACTTGGGTATGGTCGTTGAAAGCACGTCAGCAAGTTCATATTCCTTTTGCGATGCACGTGTGAGTCCATGAGTCTATGAGTCTATGAGTCTATGGATCTAGGTCGTCGATGGATCTAGGAGTCTACTTCGTATGGATCTATGACACTACCCAGACAGCCAGCCAGCTACTCGGCCTTGTGCTATTCTAAGATCAAGACCGGACCTGAGTCTTCTTTCCTAAGAAACGGCTATGTTATTATTGAAACCCTCGCAATTGTTCTTCCTCACCAATGATATACTACTATCCATTACGATTCTTCCAGGCACAATGACGGAAATCCAAGGATTGTTTTCAGCATTATCAAGGGGTCGTATGCCAAGCGATATTGATGGGCGAAGAGATATCACACTAATTCCTACACAGATGAAGAGTTCATGATATTATTACCTTGTAAACGGCACGAGTAGTGCTTGGATACCTATGGATATTGAGCATGGCAACTTTCACGAATACGATATTTTCTCAATTCCCCATTACTGTACATCGTGTTCGCTCAAAGGAGCTGCACCTCCTGAGTCCTAACGTTTCTTCGATTCGTGTTCAGCTCCGCAAAAACAAAAAAAAATCAACCTAAGATTGTGACAGCACGAAGAACACGATGGTGATATCACCACATGATGTGACGATAGTTGTGGACTCTTGAATGACCCTTATTAGAATCAGGTTGAACCAATCTCAAGCCAGTCAACGACCATCACCCATGTTATGATATTCTTCTTAGGCCATAAGGCTTGGAGCTCACTCCACCAAATGAAATATGGAGAATCTCGTAGATCATTCACACTATGAACCGACATGCGAGCATGACATCCATCCATCAATTGCAAACTCCATTTCGGCCCACTCCGACTTTTTTTTGATCTTCTAGAATCTTTTGGTTGTCAAGGGGATTCGCAATATACCTCTACGGTTAGCCATCGACAGCAAGAATCATCATGATATTACGAATTAATACTAACTCATGGTGCAATCAATTCCAACACATGCGGGGAAATGATACAATTCTCGAGAATCTACAGTCTACAGTGTCATGTCAAACTGTGCAACTTTTGAGAATTGCCTAGTATTTATCCATAAGTCTGTGACTCGTACATTGGGGTTAAATCCCAATCCCCCCCACAGAATGGCGTTGCACAATTCAATTTCTCCTCGGAGAGAATTATGTGCTTGACGCCTTCCAATTTGATCCTCTCCATCGGATCTATGCCTTCGTCTCATGCATACCATACGGAAGAGAACAAGCGACGACATGGCATTATTTTTTTCATTCTCACCGTGATACACCGGAACCTTTCATCAACTCTTCCAACAAGAATCCCCAAAATCGGGATATACCTTCCCAATCCGGCTGGATCTGACAATAGCCGCAAAACCCCATGTGATTCCATCGAGCAAGAAAAATCACATTTGACGACAAACTGGAAACACATCGTGCAACGAACCTCCATCTTAATTTTCATCGCTCTTCACAATTCCAGACCGATCTCTCGGCTGTCCAATGAAACCCGGAAGACCTTCTCAAATCCTATTCGATCATATTCAATACCTGTTACATAACATTAAACCTTATTTTGTCGTATCCTCCACCACTTTTCATGCCCTCATCAATATCAAGACTCAAGAGTGGAAGAATCACGGCGAGGTGGGAACTTGGAAGATTTACTCGATGAGATCCACAGGTACCTTAAGTATCCACTATCGTGTACTTTGGAACAGTTGAACACATACCCCCCCTCCTAAAAAAAATCAGATCTTCCAAGCTTTCCAGATGATGCTAAATTAGTATGAGAAATTTTTAAAGAAATTTTAGACTTCCCGTCGCTGCGCTCACGGTCCAAGTCGGCTGTATCTCCACTCATGTACCGCATGTACCCTCGATTATACTTTTCTAGAAATCTGATGTTTTGCGTGCGAGATGAATTCTACCGAGAAAAAGCGAAAGACGTGGCGTGACAAAATCTTCCGATTGGATCATACAGATTCGGGGATGTCCTTCCTTGATCTTTAATGACTCAGGGGGAAGACATGCAAATTCTTCCCCGGTTCGGCGGCTGTTTGTCTCCATGTGAAATTTTTCTTTGACCAGCAGGGCAGAAAAAAACTTGGTGCGAAGCTTGAAGCTTGAGCCTTGAAGCTTCTTCTTCGTTTTTCGCTCACCGATCAAAGCCGATTCTGTGGATCTTCTCTACCTCCACAATTGAAAAGGAGAGCAAGGAAGCCCCGAAATAGGAGAGATTCTAGAGTTCCAGAATCTGCATGGTAAAAAGCCTCATCCTTTCACCATGTTACCTTGTTGGCAAGCCTCAGGAATTGAAGATTCATCATCACTGTGGAAACGAACGGTGAAGAACGTATTGTTGGAGAATTGGAGTTTGAATGAATAAATGTGAAGAGTGGAGCTTTTTTTTTCTGCTACGTACGGAGTACGTGCATTGTTGCATTGCAAACTTGCAATTGACAGATCATGATGGATGAAACGAAACGTCAAATCTGGACAAGGGAATGTGGTCCTTGCGAGACGAATGATCATCCTCTTGTGAATTTTCTTCACTGTTTCTTCAACGGTAGGCAGGTGGAGATTAGTATGGGTGGGTATGAGAGGTGTAGAGTGTCGAGACTCGAGAGTCGAGACGGTTTTGAATGTGATGGATGCATCAGTTAACGTTGCTGGCATGTTACAGATGGCCGAGTATGTGTGTGTATCGTTGGCTTTCTCCACACGTGAAAGAGTCCAGATGCATATGGGCAGACTATCAAAGTCGACAGAAAGTCTATTCAACAATAGCATGTGTTCAATATACATACACTGTATTTATTCAAACAGCAGTGCTGTGGATTTAAGATCATGAAAGTCTTCTAACATTCATCGCAACAGGATATCATTCCACTGTTTGGCATCAGGTTATCACAGTCTTCATCATTCTTGAAGAATAAACCTGCATGGCGAGCGCCGGTTTCCGTTATGGTGGTCAGCTAAATCGTTAGTAGGTAATCTTTCCCACTTCATATTCCATACCCATAACATCATTGACTATTCTATCTCAAACTATCATCTTCTTTCTCGATCTATATCGGATTTTCTCCCTCTTCCCCAGTAATTCTAGATGAACATCATATTTTCCATCCATCTACCTACCTCCGTATAACACTTTTTCCCTCTCCCCTCCCCTCCCCTCCCCTCCCACAAACCACAAACCACAAAAAAACGAGCAAACGCACGCACGCACGCACGCTCCCGTCCCTTTCCAATATTCTGCCCTGCCTAACTAACTAAGTAAAATCCCTTACTAAAAAACCCCTTCCAAACTTCTCCCCCACCAAAACCCAAACAAATCCTCAATCTGCCCCACATCCATCAAAATCAAAAAACACACATACCATCTTATTACTCGCTTCATACATCCCAACCAAAACCAAAACCAAAAAACCAAAACCAAAAATTTGAAAAAATTGCTGAGAAAATAAAAGAATCAGCAAACTCATTTGTTTGACCTACGCAGGGATCGAACCTGCAATCTCTTGATTCGTAGTCAAGCGCCTTGCCATTGGGCCAGCAGGCCGGTTTATGAGTGTTTGGATGATTTGTTGAGGGAGAAAGGGGGAAAAGGATTATGTTGATGGGAAATTGTGGAGGGAAATTTGGGGATTTGGGGGGAAGGGGAGGAGAGAGGAGAGGAGGAGATAGGCTATAGGGTTAGGTTTTTGGATTTGAGGTTGGAGTTGGTTTGGGAGTTTAGTCAAATTTGAGGATCTTGATTTCGGAGAGGAAGGGAAGGTGGGCGTGTGCTTTTTATGTGTACTTTTTGTATATGTATGTGTGTAGGTATGTGTATTTCTTTTCCCACCTTCTAGTAGAGAAAAAGATGTGCAGCTGTAATCTGATAGGGGAGTAATATAGGAGTAAGGGTTAAATATCTAGGGGATGGATATAGTATGAGTGATATGATGAAGAAAGAATGGAAGGGAAGGGGAGGAAGAGTATTAGGTATGAGTTTCAATGCCTTTTTTTTTTTTGGAAATGGATGGGATGGGATGGTTGTTGGGTGGGTATGTAGGGGGGGATTTGGTGTGTGTGTATTTCAAATAATGGATGAAGTTGGAAATAATTAACTTCGAAAAATCGAACTGAGAGTATATGAGTTGATGAGTTGAGGATGATTTGGGTGTGAGTGTGAGTATGTGTGTTATATATATATATATATATACACAAGTTCTTGTTTTCGGAGGATAGAAAGGGGAAGGGAGGGGGGAAGGGGAGGGGAGGATGAGAAGAAGAAGAAGAAGAAGGAGCAGGAAGAGGGATGGGAATAGTATGCTTTTCTTTTCTTTTCTTTAGTTTGTATAGATGAATGGATGTGTGTATACTTGGTCAATACATTTGGAATGGGAGTTGTTCATTGCGGTATTGTTATGTGGTTGTATGTGTGATGGTGGAATAAAGTGTATATATATATCTTTCTTTTAGTAGAGAAGGAGGAGGAAAGGTAAAGAAGCAGAGTACGGGGCATCTTTCTTTCTTGAAAGATTTATACTGACTACGTTAGCTATAATATGTAGAGTGAGTAGAGTATCGTTACTGTTCTTCTTATAAGTAAATGGTGATTCGAATCTCTTCTCCTCTCCTCACAATATCACACATCTCAATAATCAATCATTAAAATTATCATTCTCTGCTGCGTTACATCAAAATAACATGACATTTTTGAAGAGAAAAAAAAGGCGCAGGAAAAATGTTAAAAGCATTATATTCCAGAAATAGGAAAAGGAAATGTCATTATTGATATTCGATACATCAATACATCAATACCCATATCAAACCATAAATTTCATTCTCTCCCAACTCAAAAGTACAAAGAAACACCTCCGTCCTCTTCTTCAGAAGTATCGCCAGAATGATAATCTGCTTCTGACATATTTTGATGTTGCTGGTGTGGAGTGCCCTCATTTTCTCTACTCGTTTGTGAGAAATCAAAATGTTCATTTCTTATTTGCTTGTCGTCATCATTATTATCATCATCGTCTTCTTCTTCTTCTTCTTCATATTCTCCAACTAGAGATTCACAATCCTCCTCCTCATCATCACCTACTGCAGACTCACAATCCTCATCCTCATCTTCAATACCATCACCTCCCACTCCACCCATCTCATTCCCTACAAAAGACCCACAACCCATCCCCCCTCTCCCCCTCACCTCCGATATCTCCGTCAAAGAATCCGGTTTCCACCCCCCGGGCTCTCTCATCTCCTTAATCTGCATCAAAACCTCCCCCCTAAAAACCCTCGACATCTCAATCAACACCCCCTCTCTAATCTTCTCCCCCCTCTCATCCCCCTCCTCCACATCCGGCGCTCTCCAATTCAAATAATGATTACAATGACTTCCTGGCACTACAAACTTTCCCGGATGCACTCTAATATAATGATAACAACAATAACACGCCGGTTTACTACACGCGATATAGCGATCATTGTCCACGAAATGGAGATTCCTTGAGTGGAAATGCTGAAGCAGGAGTAACTCGGCGTGGATTTTCGGACGCCAGTTGGGGTTTGTGCAGTGGGAGGAGAGATGGGTGGAGAGTTGATATTTGTGGTCCATTTCTGCGAGGGCGGCGCGGTAAGAGGTGATGGCGAGAGGGTCGCTCGTGGTTCGTCCGATGAGGGCGGAGAGGGTAGGGTTGCGAGCTTGGAGGGGAGGGGGAAAGGACGAAGAGGAGGGGAGGAGGGAAATGGTGAGTTGGGTGAAGAGATGAGGGAGTCGGTTGCGGGTGGATAGGAGGATTTGGATGGCTTTGGGGGTATGATTTAGACGGCCGATGGTGTGGCGGATTTGGGTAAATCGAGTGGCGAATGGAGAACCGAGTTTGATGAGTAGTTGGAGGTGTGTAAATTCTTGTGACACAGTTGTACATGTTTTGTGGCAGAAACGACAGAGTTGAGATGGATACCTGGTGAGACTGAGAAGCCCTTGAAGCCATGCGTGAAGATGGGTCGAGGATTCTTAGAAGTTGATTTTGTCAGATAAGAATACATATAATGCATATGAAACTTCTTACCTTTATCTTGCTTATCCTCTCTAATTGTCTTCCATTCTCTCAACACAAATTTGATATCCCGAGCCAAAAAAGATGCATAGGAAGAAATTCTCTTCTCAGCATATTTTACCGATAACTCAAATATTCTAGCCTCAATATCCTCCCTCTTTTTCTCGAAATCCTTAATCCAATCATATCCAGCGCCACCTAGAAGTCCCAGCACTTTTTTCAAAAACTCCACACCCCTTTCCGGTCGCGAACACCTGTTCCAAGCAACATGATATACGATTACCCCCTTGTTCATCTGCTGCAACGCAATTGCAGTCGTGCTATCACCTCCTTTTTCATAATCGCATAGATAGGCAAGATGTCTTGTAAATGATCTCCTTAGCTTGGTTCGACTCATTTCGTCCATCTCGTGCTTTTTGTTCACATCAATATCCAAAATCTCATCGTCGAAAGTATCTGTTGGGGATTCTTCCTCTAGAATTCGTGAGCCTCGGTTAGAGCCAAAGACGGTGAGGAGAATTAATGCTTCGTAGAATCGCTTGAGGAGCTTGGGGGCAACGGGGATGAGAGATGGGGGTGGGGATGTAAGTGGAAGTGGAAGTGGAGGTAGAAGTGAGGTTGTGAGTGTTATGGTACGATGTTTTTTGGACTGAGGTTGACCTTTTGGTGGGGGCTTGGATAGAAGTTGTGTTGATTTTGGGGGGCTCGAGATGAATGGAGGAGTGGAAGCGGTTAGGAGGTGGGATATGGATAAGTTGTTCTCACTGAGTCGGTGAGGGCCTGGGATGGTCCTTTGTATACAGTGTTCTTCTGGATCTTTTCCTTTCCCTTTACTCTTCCCTTTCTTTGGAAGGGATTTTGAAGGGATCACACATATCGCTGGAGAGGTGACATCCTTCTCCCGAGAATTTCTGGATCTGGTGTTGGGCGAGTTGACGATAGGGTGGCGCTTTATAGTTTTTTCACCTTTTGCTAACTTTTTTTTTGAAGCCTGAGATACTTTGCTTTTCGCTCCCCTTTCGACATTGGAGAAAAGCGGTTCAGTGAAGATGGGAGAAGAAGAAGTAGAGAGAGAAGTGGATGGTAGAACAGAACTCAGTTTTGTCTGAACTTTCTCTATAGTCACCCCCTTCTTCAAGAAACTCGTACCTTTTTGACCAGTTGCTGGTGCCTTTTTCCTTTGCTCCTTCGCATTACCTCCTTGCTGATTTAGACCATGCAATGCAGTCACTTGATCACCACTTCCACTCAATCCAGTTTGTGATACACACTCGGACGTACTTTTTGATTTTGTTACAGATTTCGTCATGATTAGTATTCATTGATAACGTCCATGAAGAACTATCTCCGTCGAGATAGAGTGCTAGTAGAGAGAAGTTTTTGTTTGATGTTGCGATAGCCTTGTTCTACAATCATCCATGTATATATGCAGGCATCCGCTGGCGCGAGTCTTGACCCCCAGCTTCCCGGTAAGTTGTCCAATGAGCAATAATATTGCGTGCGGGGTAGACTTCTATAATTGACTGAAGCAGACGCCCGAATCGAGAGTTTCGGAGGGAGTGCAAAAATCACACATGGACCCTTTCATATACATTTGTTTTGTTATACAAAAAGATGTAGAGCGTTTCATTGGCTCATGTGTAGTTACACTGATCGATAAGGATGCTTATTTAAGAACTATAGATATATTTATCATGTATTATCCTGTGGAGTTAAGAATGAGGTGATGGCTTTAAGTGTGTAGAATAATTCTCGTCACATATTGAAGTCCCGCGTGCATTTATCGAAATGCTATATCCTTATACCTAGAAAAAGACGCTTAGGTTTGGGTTATAGCTTCAAAGATAATGATACTACCCATCCCTGAAGCTGCGCTGGCATTTCATGTATGTAGAAGACTAAGAGTTGGCATATAAATTTTAACACTCCACATAGACTCCCGGGTCTTGCTCTTAGACTGGAGAAGAACCTTTAACCAACCTTGCAGCGTAAACAGACCATAGGTGGTTATGGTATGTGAATTAAATGAGAGACATCGGCTTCAAAAGCTACAAACTCAGATACAACTAGACTACAAATTGTAAAACGACCATCCAGCGTTGCGAAGACTCAATGTTCGAGCTTCATCAAATGATGAACATTGTTTTTTTGCATTCGAGTTAGGTAGAAATCAGATCAAATCGAGCATCCGAATGTTTACAATATCTTACCATTTCATGGGGGTTTAATAAGAATCAGATTAAGATATACCTTGCATAACTTGCTTTGAAATAACTAGGAACGTGTATAATGAGAAGTATGAAGATGAACTTGTTTAATAGAGCAGAAATACTCCACAGATTACGATCTTCTGATGAGTCAATAAAGCAGCTTCACCAACTTCTTGACTGGGTACAAAAGATGATAAGTCCAATTGGGTTTATATTAAAGGAAAATCGAACACATTGACCTGAATATACATAGAGATATAAGTACACGTTACAAGGGATCGTGCTTTCAGAAATTGCATTACAGAACCCAAAATCAGAACAAGGCAGACCAACACTTTATAGTTATGAAATCTATAAGGATTATCAAAATGACTTATTTTGAATGGGATCTGATGGACCTGGGGACTTTCTGGGGACTTTCTGGGGACTTTCCGGGTCCAACAAAAACCACTCACTACTCATTCCAGGGAAAATGCTCAGTAGGTGGCCTGCAAAAATTGTGAATCCAGACAAACAGCACATCAACAGAAAGACTTGAAAGCTTCTAGGAACATGTTCCATGAAGTGGTTCATTTGGCCAACATATACGATTTAAAGAATTAGAAAAGTAAGCAATGTTCGAATAAACATTAGTAGGAACTCGAGTGCAATAAAACATCGTCAAAGTGAGACATGGAGATGATAAGATTTTCACTAGAAAATGGGATGTGATCGTAAGTTCCAAATCGTGTAAACAAGCTCACTGTGCTTTCCCAGTGAAGTTCTCCCACATAGGCACTTCTCTTCTGAGGTGCTTTCGAGGTATCCGTTGAATGCTTGAAATTCAAATCGGCAGGCATTTGATCTGCAATTGATTACCTAATCCGAGCCGAGATTCTCCCAATCTAGCTTACGATAACCAAAGCTCCAGAGCTTCATGCCACATTGGAGGTCCATACCCCATTCGACATCATTCATTATGCGACTCCTTCTAAATTTGCTTTGTCTGACTCTGTCAATACTTCCCAGAACTTTGGCAGTCTTCGCAGACGAAGCTTACACGGTTGACTACCATCACGAATTACTAGGTCTCCCACAATCAGACACAACCTTCTTCTACAAGCCTAGGGAAACTGAACAAGGCGCGCTATTATATACATTAAGTGATCTTGGCGTCCTTGGAGCTGTTAATCCAGGCACGGGGGACGTTCGATGGCGACAAATACTGGCGAATGATGATAATCACGGAGAGGGCTTTCTGCGACCAGTCGAGGGAGCTGGTACAATTATTAGTGCTTTGGGCAACAGAGTAGACGCTTGGGATGCGAAGAGTGGAAGGGAAAGATGGGGAAACATTTTCACAGGACAAGCAAAAGATATGGAGGTAGTTGAGGGGTTTGACAATGTCAAGGATGTTTTGACCTTATTCGAAGATGCTGGAAAAATCGTGGTACGGAAACTTAATGGAGATAATGGAGATGTTGTTTGGGAATATGTTGATGCTAGTGGTGACTTACCTCTACAAGTCAGCACAAATGTTAGAGACATTTTTGTTGTCACTCTTCATGGTTCCTGGGGAGGTTATAGCGTCAAAGTTACCACTCTGGACCATTTGACAGGCAAAAGAGTTACCGAATACACACTCTCCACCAAAGGAGATGTTCATACACCGGAGGATGTTTTACTTGTCGGAGCCAACTCTGCTGCTCCTATTATTGCTTGGACCGATAGATCGCTGAAGAGTCTCAAGGTCAATATTCTAGGTAAACCAAGCGACTTGCAGACATTGCCTCTAAAAGAATCGGATGGCGAGCTTACAAAGGTCTCTATTCACGCGCCTAATTTGGCGCAATCCTTGCCACATTTCTTGGTGCACAGTCACTCGGCAACTTCAAACAGAGCAGATGTTTATCATATCGATATGAAAAGTGGTAGCATTAGTAAAGCATATGAGATCCCCAAGCTTGCAGGGAGCGGTGCTTTCTCAACCAGCTCGCAAGGTGCCAACGTCTACTTCACTCGTTTTACCGAGGAAGAGACCTTTATCTTTTCTTCAATGTCTCATGGAGTTTTGGGTAGATGGCCAATTCAAGCAGAGAAGCAACATGACCGACTTCGATTTCTCCATGGTGCATCAGAAGTAGTCCAGAAAGCACCTGATACTTATGCTGTAAGATCAGCTATGGTGACTGTGGAACAGGACTGGGTTCTCGTGCGCAATGGCGCTGTAGCTTGGTCTCGCGTCGAGGGTCTTTCTGGAGTTGTGGCTGCCGAATGGGCTGAAATTCCAGCCTCTGAATCATTGGCAGAGACACTTGAGGCAGAAGCTCACAGCAACCCCCTGCAAGCATATATTCACCGAGTCAATCGTCATATAAATGACTTGGAATACCTTCCAGCATACTTGGAAAAGTTACCAGCCCGAATTTTAAGCGCCATCTTACCTGGAGATTTGGTTACACCAAATGAAAGTGTTTTAGAACGAGATAACTTTGGCTTCAACAAGTTAGTTATCGTTGCAACCCAAAGAGGTCGTTTGTATGCACTTGATGCTGGATCTCAAGGGCGCGTCGTATGGAGCTTTAAAGCTTTCGATATACCAGCTGGCAATAAGTGGGATGTTAAGTCCATATTTGTCAACAATGCTAAAAGTACAACAACCGTTCGAGGCAGTCAAGGAGAGTATATTATCGTGAACACTACAACTGGAACGGGACTCGAGGCTATAAACCCTGGGCAGTGGCCACCTGTTCAGAGCGCGGCTGTCGTTGACAGTAACCTTGGCAGGTGGGCGTTACCTATTGGCATCGATGGAAATCCTGGCGATATACCAAAAGATTGGGCACCAAAGGAATTGCTTGTGGTTCGAGGCGAGAACGGTGAAGTCAAAGGCTTAAAATTTGACATTCAAGGTGCTGATGCCAAACCTATCTTTACCTGGTCATTCCAGCCACCTTCTGGCCAAAGGATCGTCGAGGTAGTCTCCAAACCCGCACATGATCCGGTTGCGTCGATTGGGCGAGTCCTTGGTGATCGTACTGTTATGTACAAATACTTGAATCCCAACACTGTTTTGGTCACTGCCGTCTCCGATAAATCCTCAATCGCCTCCTTTTACCTTCTTGACACAGTTTCTGGCGATGTTCTTTATTCCGCAAACCACGAAGGCGTTGACACCAAGAAACCCATTGCTTCTGTATTCACCGAGAACTGGTTCGCATATTCTTTATGGAGCGATGAATTGTCAACTACCGCTTCTCTGCATGGATCAAAAGGATATCAACTCGTCGTCACCGATCTTTACGAGTCTCCTATTCCAAATGATCGTGGAACCCTCGGCTCGAATGCGAATGCATCAAGTCTTGACCCATCAGAAGTACCAAATGCTGGCCCAGTTCTTCCCCATGTTATTAGCCAATCATTCGTGGTTCCCGAAGCGATAACACACATGTCTGTTTCCCAAACCCGCCAAGGTATTACTACTCGTCAACTTCTTTGTACTTTGGAATCCAATTCCATCATTGGTATTCCCCGTTATCTTCTCGATCCCCGCCGACCAGTTGGCCGAGACCCTATCCCTGCCGAGCAAGAAGAAGGACTTCTTCGTTACTCGCCTGTCATCGAATTCGATCCAAAACTTATCATCAGTCATAAACGTGAAGTTCTTGGTATCAAAGGTGTCATTACTAGCCCTGCTATACTTGAAAGTACCAGTCTAGTTTTCGCGTATGGAATTGATGTTTTCGGAACAAGAGTTAACCCTAGCGCTGCCTTTGATATTCTAGGCAAAGCATTCAACAAGCTGAGTTTAGTGGCTACTGTTTTGGCATTGGGAGTTGGTGTTGCAGTTTTGGCGCCTATGGTAAGTTATTTTACTTTGTCTACGTATTGTTTAATGAGTGCTGTGCTAATAGTTTCATAGGTGAGAAGGAAGCAAATCAATGGCAGATGGTTGAATGCATGATTATGATTATGATTATGCTATAGAATTTTGTAAATTATGATAATATAAGGAGGGTTAAAAAAGCGTTACTCTCATCAAATACCAGGGATTTCACTCATGCTATTGGTAAACTGGTTTTTTTTGGCATGGTTCCATCTTGTTGCGGAATTTCTATCA